AATTACAGCTCCAAAAATTGTAAAACATATTGCAACCATCTTGCAAATGGGATGAAGTTCTGAATGCTGTGAAAGTAGATGAGGCTTTTGAATTATTATCAGAACTCTCTCCTATTATCACGTTTCTATTACTCTACAAAGTTTAAAAAAGTAAATTAATTATGAACAATAGGTGGTAGGTATAAAGGTATCATCAAGAAAGAGACATGAATTTAAAAAGGTAATTTCTGATGCAAAAAGAAAGTTATGTAATGTGTCCTATAAAAATTCTGGAAATAAAGTTAAAGCAGCCTGGATTATAATCAATAACATTTTGCTATAACTAAATATAAATGGAGAAACTACATCTGATCGTTAATAGTTGCTCAACATTTATATATAACTGTTTTATAGATCTGCCTACTAAATTAAATGATGGATTGGGAGTTACTGCAAAATTAAATTTTAGAGTAGGTAACCGTTCTTGTTACCAGTGTACGTAAGTTTGTAATAGTTCCATTGCTGCACCTGCTCAATATGTCTGATTGTGAGTATTTTTCCAAAAGTTCTCAAAGTTACTCCTTTATATAAACAGGTGACACTACTTCTTCAACTGAAATTTATAGATCTATGGTACTTTTTTTTGCTGTATCTAGAATATTAAAACTAATTGTTTTCAATGGAATCTTAAACCATTAATAATTTTAATATATTCTCAGAAGCACAACACGGGATAAATCATTCAACTCAAATTGCGGCCATGTCCTTTATAGAAAAGTTACATGGAAAACTAAATAATAGTTTAAATTGGTCTTTCCTTCATGGATTTAAATAAAGCAGTTCATTTATAATTGATCATAATATTTTATTCTTAAAAACTTTAACAAGTATGTATCATGCGGAAAAATAAAAAGCTAGTTAATATCTTATCTCACTGACACATCAGAGATAGTTGAGGCAAATAGATTTATTTCGTAAAAATATAACACAAAATTTGATGTACCTCAAGATTCCAAACATGGTCTTTTACTTTTTTTTAATGTATGTCAATGATTTGTCAACCCATGTTACTAAACTTTTAATTATGTTTCCTGATGATTCAGTTTGGAAATAAGTGCTTTATCCCTTTTACAAAAAGATATAGCAAAATATGCTGAATAGTTGAAATTAAATAGATAATTCTTAAACACTTTTTATAATATTTCTATCTAGAAGTTCAGTTCGTGGCAAGAGCAATTTAATTAAAATGGAGAATAAATATATTAGACAAACAAATTCTGTTAAATTCTTAGAACTTAGCATCGATTGTGCAATATATGCAATGGGGAAACACATTAATATATTAGCGAGTTAATTATCTTCCTACCTATTAAAAAATTACAAATAAAAAAACCAAAGCATTATATGATATAATTTTTGTAGAATATAAAAAAATTACAAATTTCATTACACTGTGTTTACATATTATATTATAAGGGTGTTTCTGAAATAAGTGCATTCCTTAAAAACTTTTATTAAGCAATTGATGGTCTAAAACATTACATTTTAAACTGAGAAGTTTAAAAAAGCCAGCTGTACCTTTGACATCGAAGTTGCCGCGCGCCGCAGTGCGAAAGCGCTGATGGCGGTTTTGACGGTTTAAATTTAGTGTTTGAAAATGCTGAAACTTATTCAAATCTCGTTTAAGAGCAACACAAAAATTTAACGAATAAACGAATTACTTACCAATAGGCGATATGCTCTACAAAAATTGTTCAAAATTGTTTCCATATGCTAATAAACATGCTTTCAAACGACGGACAAAATTCTTTCACCAAAAACATCACACCACACATTCACTGAAAACCGTTGGTGGATCCGAGATCTCTGTATAACATGAGGGTTTGCATTATACCAATAGTGAATGTTGTGAAAATTTGATACGCCGATGCCGTCTCTAATAAAACAACATTCATTCGTAAAAAGTTCCTTGCTTGTAAAATCCAGAGCTTGATTTAATATCGAAACCAAAACTTTACGCGGGGCTGAAGGTCATTGTTATTTAATGCCTGAACCCTTTGTACATGATAGGGGTGTAATAATTGTTCCCGTAGTACACACCACACGGTACTGTTAGATACACCCGCTTCTCGCCCAATGTCGCGAGTACTGCGCCTTGGGTTTTCCTCAACGAGGTTTATGATGTTTTCTTCGTTGTCAAAAACATATTGCGGCCTTCATATGTCAGGTGGACATTGCAAGTATTCCGTAACCTTTGAACTGCCTTTTGCACTGTTCTACTGTTACATTGTCTGTTACAATAACGGACCGCATATAAACGACAATCTCATTTAAATTGTATGTACTAACATTCTCCGTACATTAACACATTAACATCATATGTGCTGGTTCTTGATCAGAAAACATTTTATACGCCGACTAAATAGGTAATACTGCAACACACAACTAAAGAACTATTACATTTTTATAATCTAAATTTCCAATTACCGGTCTATAACATCATTTCGGGGTTAATAATTAAACATTATCATTATTATTAATTAAGGCACGACAACAAATAAAAAGAATTTATAGCGAAAACTTTTTGCGCTAGGGAAAAAGCGGTCGGTTTAGATAGCGAGTACGCGAGCTCTGGCAGGCAGATAAAAAACTTTGTATTTGACTGAGGTCTAGTGGACAATAAAATTTGCATATTCTACGTTTATAACGGCTGTTTCACTAGTACCTTGATTAAGACGATATTAATAGGGTTGATATGTATTGGAATATCGTCTGAGAAACATATTGGCTATATTTTATGAGTAATATTGAGAGAACAATGTCTCGTGGTGATTAGGGGCGTCGATCACAAGAAGCATTTTAGTAGGGGTTTCGGTGTTCCGAAATATATTTAAAATTCCAACAAATTCCAAATTGTGCCCGGGGCCATATATACGAAGAGATCCAAAATATTCCCGATCGGATTTTATATTGGTTGGCCTCCCGAGATACCAAAGAGCCAAACATTTACGGAGAGAAGGCGAAGTTTAGACCTACGAGTTACATCATCTCAACCAGGCTAAGTACCACATAGTGGGAAGTTTTTTTTTTACACCGTTGTTAACGACTTTAGTCCGATTTGGTATGAATATATGACCACATGTATTAGAATTGTTTTGGGGATCATCTACCCCTTACTTACTTATTGGGTTTTTTCTTTGTCAGGTTGATAGTTGTCATTAAATAGTAAATTAATAATTTAGTTATGTGATCGGTAATTCGGAATTTTCTTTTGTAATTATTGAACAGAAGTTCCATATATTTGTTTTACTGTAATTAAAATTTAGCATGTTAGTGTAAGAAATTTAATAATAGCAAAGAGATAAAGGCCTGCATTAGTTTGATATTTTTGATAAATCCTTTATCCATTGCTCGTTTGTTTGAGAACTCTCGATTAATATTCTTAGATAGTATACACATTTCTCCGTTTGATCTTGTTATATACTTTGTCTGTTTTAACTGCCGTCCCCTATACAGGTACATCTTCACATACATATATACCTTATTTTTTTTGTAATATACCTCAATAGTTTAAATACACTCAGACTTTTATTAATTTATTTTGATACACCTATATATTTGTTTTCCTGTTAAAATCTGTGGCTATACAGTTTAGTGATTTTATTATATTTAAAGGTATGGTTATGAAAATCACTTGGCGCCCTTATCACTATATATAAATTGTTGTTTTTATATTTTTATAACCCACCCCCGACTCCACTGAGATTGGTCGGACATACCTTTATTGTTACTACATCGCAAAAGTTCACGTAACAGAACACAAGACATACTGACAACTAACCTACCATCAGATTTGCTTGACTGTGGAAGTCACTGGAACGTCAGCCAATTAGAGAAGCACTTCAAGCATATAGCGAGTCCGAAGCATTCTGGTCTTGCACGTGCACAAGATGCACAGGGTCGGCTTACATTTATGGTCAATTTTCTTAATTAATTTTCTCGAAAACATTAGGCCATCAGTTCCTTAAAAAAGTTGCTCATTTTTGTTCCCTCTATCACCCTTTTCAAGAAACGCACTTATTTCAGAAACATCCTGTATTCCATTGCAATCTTTAACAAAATATCAAGAAAGCCTTAAGTATATAGGTATATTAATATACAGCAACCTACTAGATAATGTGTCAATAGAAATTAAAAATACACGACTTGCAATATAATATGTTTTTTTTCCTTAAAACCGGTGCATCCTACGAAAAAATTGAAGGGACCAATTTCATTCAAAATTGATGGCGGATTTCTAAAAAAATATCGTAACGGGAAAAAGTCAGTGGCGTACCATTTTTTTTTTATTAAAACCAGTGGCATTCTCGCACGAACGCCACTGGTGCAAGTAGGAATATTCGGATCCCTCCAAAAAATCCCTCCGAAGCGTTTTTAAAATTTCGAGTCAATATTTTTAAAACTGAAATAATTAATAAAAATAAATAAAAAATTAAAATTTAAACACTCTCGTGTCTCGGAAACGAAGCATATTTCGACCTACGTTTATATGAACTTTTTTCACAAAATAACTTCGGCAACCACCCCCTAAAATATTTCGCACTTATTTACAAACACCGTGTATGAGCACCCTCCAGAAACTTAATTTTAACGTGTGATAAATAAAATCGAGAAGGCTTTTACCAGATATTGAGTTATTGCGACACTGGGATATCGCAATAATGCAATATCTCATAGAAGTATTCACCCTGGCGCGTTAACGATCCAAAAGAGGGTTACCCCTAATCAGGGTTAACTCCAGCAACACCATAAACGCGCGTGGGTGAATGCTTCTGCAAAATATTGCGTCATCCCGATATTTCGAGATATTACGATAACGCCAAGGCGCTTTGTATCGCGTCTGTTAGTCTTGTAATTCACTTCACCGTTACTAGAGCTAACAACAGCAGCATTGTACAAATATTTAATTCAGCTCCAGTTAACCCTCAAGTGCCTATTTACACTTCTCATTTTCGTTCCAGGTTCATAGTCCAGGACAACATACTAGGAGCTGAAAGACTGTTAACATTAGTACCCCTACCCTCCACCTGCCCCATCGGCCCGTCCCAAGCGACAAGGGACACGCTGCTGGTGCTGTTCAGGGGGTTGCAGCACCCCTACATCCACCCCGTGCTCGATATTGAATTCTGGGATGCCGGGGCGGCCATTATTAGTCCGTTAAATCCTTCAGGGAGTTTGAAGGACTTAATTTACGGGGTGCTCTGGCACGACGAATATGACAAGAAGTATGTGTCCAAGGGCGAAGGATTGCCTTTGAGGACGGTAAGAACAGCAGTCGTTCAGTTTTTCTGCAGCGTGTTTCTTAAGTAATTTAAACCACAGGGTAATTTACTCGGCGATATAAAGGTGCCCATTATAGTCCACAGTACAGGCCCCCTCTGGAAAGTTGATTACCACATACTTTATAACTCCTGAGGCGCTTAGTTTTGACGAGTCTACCACACTTTTCCTCTGCGACTTTTCTCGATTCCTCCGCCTTTCCACTTGGAAAAGTCCAAAAACATGGCAATTTCCCGGGGTCTTGAAAACTCAAGACCACATCTTTTATTTTTAGCTTAAGTAACTGGAAATTTTGTTGCAAATGCCGATTTAAATTTGTCCGACAGAAATTCCTCCGACATTGACGTGTCTACCGGTCGAAACATGCCAAAATAACAGGGTATTGAAAATCAATTACCACATAGGTAATTTTTAGTAAAATTAATTGTAAATAATTAATTCAGTCAAAAAGTATTGTTGTCCGACAAATTTCAAGCCGCGTTTTTTCAATCCGACAGCTGGAAATCGGAATTTTCACGGGGTATGAAAAATCGATTACCACATACTAATTTTCATTTTTTCCACTTTTAAATTTACTGTACAAATTAGTGATATAAATGTCCGACGATTTAATGTCCGCAAATTATTAAAAAATCAATAAATCAATAAACGTGATGAAATTTCATTTTTTCACTCCAAAAATTTCATATTTATAAATGGTTATTATTATGACGTAAATTATTATTTGTTTCAAATAAATAATAATAATATTGCTTATTTTATGCTTAAAAATTTAAAAGTTATAAACAAATGAAGTTATTTTTGAGGCGATTAATACGATCTTAGTGCATAATGCATTATTTCTAAATAAATTAATATTATACTTGATATAAAAATTCTTTTTTCTCTTTCAAGTTTTCATTCGCGTTTGTTATTTTTCTTTACAAAAATTTTCCTATTTTTCTGAAAGAAAATCCCAAAACATTTGTGCCTAGTTTTTTTTACACCATACATACTTTTTTGAAATCGTTTAATTCTTTTCTCGATATTTATGTGGCTAAATTGAGCATATAGAGATTTACAATTACAAGAATAAAACGAAAAATATATACAGGGTGTTTCAGAAAGATCTCCCGTAAATAAAGAGGGTGATAGTATGATAAAAAATGAGAATTTTTTGTCTTATGAACTCTATCTCTATCTCCTCTTGTTCTCGAGATACAGAGAGACAAAATAAAATTTTTTAAATAACATTTGTGATGCCCTATTTAATTAGTTATCTATATGTTTTGTGTTGGTGGTGTGCCGGGTGATGGTGCGATAGAAGTTAGTGGGGAGAGGTGCGCGAGTGGACAAGGGAGAGGGATGCCCGCGACAGTGGGAACACGATTGGTGTCCAGGGCAGATGTGAAACCACCATTTGTAGTAAAAAATCATTTTATTGTTACGAAAAAATACAACGAATCATTAGTAATAGCATCAGAGTTGTTGTAAAACTGTATTTGAAAATAAATGATCAAAGTTGGTTACAAGATTATCTAGGAAATCTCTTTCCCTCCAAGCCAAGAACCCGAAATAAATATAAGAACTAAATATAGAAAAAAAGTTCATCTCACATTTTTATGAAAATTTCCAAATAGTGCGAAATATTTTTATGAAATTTGGTAGCCCGAGGTTTTTAAGGGTGCCAAATACGCTAGTCTAATTATTTTTTATATATTTCATAGAAAGCGCTAGTTATGCTACATTCTTATTACAATTTAAGTTATATTTTTTTTAAGGTTAGGTTTTTTACCACTCGGACTCTAATTTCTATTGTACAATTTTATTTTCTAAAAATAATGTACTCTTGTTAGAACTTCCTAATGTGGACGATTTTCGAGAAAAAAGGCTTTTAATTAAACTCTTATAATATTACACTATAAAATAAGTGACTTTTCTCAAAGTAAGCTTGAGCTTTGAGAAGAGGAGATAGCATATAGTTCATATGACAAAAAATTCTTATTTTTTGTCGTCCTCACCCCCTGTATTTACGGGAGGTCTTTCTGAAACACCCTGTGTTGTATATTTATATGGAATATTGCTTAATACATGAAAATACCTTATTAGAAATTATAAATACATGTGCACATTTTTTACGAAATTTGTTTCATCTTTTTTGTCGGACTGACGATTTGCGGATATATGTTTGTCGGACATTACAATTTTTGCTTATAAAAAACACTTTTCTATCGTGTGTTATTTTTGTCCGACATGTGGTAATCGATTTTTCATACCCTGTGAAAATTCCGATTTCCAGCTGTCGGACTGAAAAAACGCGGCTTGAAATTTGTCGGACAACAATACTTTTTGACTGAATTAATTATTTACAATTAATTTTACTAAAAATTACCTATGTGGTAATTGATTTTCAATACCCTGTTATTTTGGCATGTTTCGACCGGTAGACACGTCAATGTCGGAGGAATTTCTGTCGGACAAATTTAAATCGGCATTTGCAACAAAATTTCCAGTTACTTAAGCTAAAAATAAAAGATACGGTCTTGAGTTTTCAAGACCCCGGGAAATTGCCATGTTTTTGAACTTTTCCGAGTGGAAAAGCGGAGGAATCAAGAAAAGCCGCAGAGGAAAAATGTGGTAGACTCGTCATAACGAAGCTCCTCAGGAGTTATAAAGTATGTGGTAATCAACTTTCCAGGGGGGGCCTGTACTGTGGACTATTAATATTGCGAAAAAATATAGGGGTTTCCTTGACTTGACCAAAAATAAGAAAGAAAATTCCTATAAACCTATGTCCGAAAATGCTTCGTTTGGGATATACAAGGTGTTGAAATTTAGAGAAAATGCAAAGTTTTTACTAATATCTGGAGAACCCTAATTCCGATTTTTTTTGAAATTTGGTATGATGGTATGTAAAAACGGTAAACGTCTTCTGACGTAATTTGATTTATTTTATCTATTCCAGCGGCGCACAGTGGGACGAAACGCCACTGCCGCATTCAAATTACTCTACACCCCACATAGTTCAACTGTTTCGGGTGAATTTTTTTTCAAAATGTTCGTCTTGAATGTCCCGATCGATCCCTCATTTGGGATTTTTTATTTCGGTCTTAATATTTTTTGAAAATTGACTCCAAAATTAAAAAATGGAAAAAACTGATTTTCGGCGCAAATGTGGTCCTACATGGACATGGCAAGTTGATGTTTTTCAAAAATTTTTTCAGCTGAAAATCTTCGTTTTGATAAATAGGTACTACAAAATGTCTGCGAGAAAGTCGGGAGAAAAATTTTTCATATGCGCAAAAACGGTCATAATCCAAAAATTTTCGTGGAGAAGCGATTTTTTAATTCGAAATTTCGCAACCTGGGGAAAAATTAGATGAACCAAAAGTTGTTTAGAATCACTCGAGGAATACTCAAAAAAATTTTAAAATTTTTTGGATTTGGACATTTTTTGTCCATTTTATGTCTATCTATGACATTTTATGTCCCAAAATGTGTCCAAAATCGAATTTTGGAGTCAATTTTCAAAAAAATGAAGACCGAAATAAAAAATCCTAAATGAGGGATCGATAGGGACATTCAAGACGAACATTTTGAAAAAAAATTCACCCGAAAGAGTTGAACTATGTGGGGTGTAGAGTAATTTGAATGCGACAGTGGCGTTTCGTCCCACTGTGCGGCGGCCGGGTACTAACTCACTATTGATATTAATAAGTAAACATATAAGACGTCACTGCTATTTCTTAGGTGTCATATTTTTTTCTAATTATGCGATTAAAAATACAACTTTTTTTCTCTTTTCTTTTTTTGATATCTTGCTTCGTTTTCGAGCAAAAAATTAATATCCTTTCATATGCACATTCTTAAGTAGAAAACAAAAATAGAAATTCAATGTTTTAGTTATTTACTAATCAACTTTAATAATACATTTGAAGGAAAAACAATGTAACAAGCTGAGAAACAATTATTCACTAAATAATATTTTTTTAAATAATAATTAATATTAACAGAAACATAAGAGAAAATATTTAACAGACAGCAATGATATGAAAAATACTTTACATACACAGGCGTTACAACAGTTGTTGAGTTGAAAATGTGCACCTTCAACTCTAATACAGGCATCTATCCTACGACACATTGATTGGCAAACCCGTTCAAATATTCCGGCTGTGTCTAATTGTTTCACAGGATGCGATAATGCGGTTTCTTAATTCGGCTATGGTTTGTACTGGAGTCGTATAAACGAAATGTTTAAGGTGACCTCAAAGGAAAAAATCCAACGAATTTAAGTCGGGAGACCTCGAGGGCCAGGGTTGAGTGCCTTCTCGACCTATCCAGTGATTTGGGTAGATATTGTTCAAATATTCACATTCACGCAGCTAAACTGAAATGGGGTGGAGCACCATCGTGCATAAAATACATTTGCAACCTTAATGGCAATGGGATGTCTTCCAAAAGTACGGACAATTCATCCTCACGAAAACGGCGTTAAACATCTCCAGTAAGCCTCGGTGGTAAAAAAATTAAGTGGTCTACCACAATTCCAACCCATACATTAAGTGAAAACTGGTGTTGATGACGGCCTTCTAATATTGCATTTGGGTTCTCGTCGGCCCATACATGATTATTATGGAAGTTCATTATGGCTTCTCTAGAAAAATTCGCCTCATCCGTGAATAGTACTTCTGCTAAAAATTTAGGATTTTCCCCAATTTTTTGTCGTATCCATCGACATAAATCTAATCTTAATGGAAAATCAGTCGATAAAAGTGCCTGAACCCGTTGGATGTAAGGGTATAGAAGATTATTTTTTAAAATCCTGAAAATTGTAGAACGACTTGCATTTAAGTTTCTAGCAATCTGTCTGGTACTTGTTGTTGGAGTATATCTTCCTCCAATTGGAGGGTTATTGCTGTGCGGGGTCACCCGTTTCCTGCGTTAAGTTTTCGAAAACTTCCAGTTTCACTAAGACGTTGATGAAGAGGGTGTAGATAGTA